TCGTTTCATTTTAAACCTATTAATGATGCCGCAAAATAATTTAGACAAAGTTTCAGTGGTTTCAAGAGCTGAAAATAGCGGATCGATACTATGTATGTGTTAAATTTTGTCCGATCATAAATTTTTATACACAATGGACGAGAAGAAGGAATTTGATGTAGTACAGAATTTATAATTTATTATTCAAGAATTTATAATTCTATCGTTTGGACATTATAATCTGACATGGTGAATAATCGGAATATTCGCATAATATTTTTGTACAAGTGAAAATTGCTATTAAATCAAAATGACCCTACATTCGTCGTACGAGGGTTAATTAGAGAAAAATTTAAGGTAACAAAATTTAAACTACTTAATAAAATAATTTTTAAAGCAGAATATAAGTCTCTTTCGATATCTTTCAACACCTACACGAAGCTCCCCTTGCATAAGGTAATTTCCCCTGTAACTCCTGAACTATGCAGAATAGGAAAGATGCTTTAGATAAAAGTTGTTAGGTTTGATAACATATTTCCATGTATGTAAAAAGTAATATACCATTTCATTAAAAAAAAAATGGGGTAGCACTCTTAAATGTAGTACGGTCTTCGGGTCTTTTTTGACCCATTGCCTTCTTATCTTTTTAATTACTTTTGCTGTTATCAAATTTATGTTCCCTTAACATTACATCGAAAGTTCATTACCTAAGTTCGTATGGCGTGCTGGTAACAAAAATTGTTACACCTAAGACTTTTGGGTCAAAAAAGACCCGAAAACCTCAAGTGTATAGTCGAACGAAAGAACGCACTAGGGTTGACACCTGAAAATTTCAAGTCGATATCTTTATTAGTGTCTGATAAAACACTTTATTTAGGCCACCCTGTGTAGTATAGTATTATACATACACCTGGTACGCGATACTCGACAAAACATACTCAAACATATCTTCGTTACGCGAACAACAGTATATTCCAATCGCTGATTCCTCATTACACCCTAACTTCGTTAACCCTTCATCCGTAAAAGGGCGAAGGTCCCGAATGAGATTATAGTTCACGTTAATCCAGCGTAAATGTAAGATACATAGGTCCGAGCGCAGATTTAATCCCGTGTAGCTTGAGCATAATTTTACGAAGCTGCAAACCGGCCAGCCACTGTAAAACAATAAAAATAATGTGTCGTTTGCCGCGTCTTAATCCGCTCCGCTCGTAACGAGCTCGCCGATATACCGGCATAATCCGCGGGCTTTTCAGTTCGTTCGCCGCGATAATTATTAACGACGACCTCAGTCGTTCCGGTGAGCCAAACTGAAAATGAAAAGCGGCGAAACTAATGGTAAGCGGATACAGACGATTTATACGTGTCGTTTCAACTTCTAATCCAATAAAAGTTCGATTGCCGGAGAAATCATGGAAAGCTTTGACGAGAAAATCTTTCTCTCTCTCTCTCTCTCTCGTTTTCGAAGACAGATTACGCGAATTTTGTTACACTCATTAGCGATGCGACGTTACCATCAGATGGTCGCGTAAGTTCGTGGACGAATTTTCTAATTTGGATCAATATTTCCAAACAAATCGGACGAAAGGAAACACGAGATTATTCGCGGCAACAAATTTTATTTTAATCTACGCGCGCACATTTCAAATAAAACAAACTCAAAGAAAATTTATTCGGACGTCGAGGCTGCATATTGTAAATTCGAAACTCGTCAGACTAAAAGCTATTAAATACGTTCAACGAGATTTATTATCATTTCGCAGCTATACGATAAATAACAGAGAAACTTCTCCGTGCCTTTGATTTACGGCGAACGCACTAGAGAATGGGAAATTATTTTTCTAAAGAACGATCGCCGAAGAAAATTTCACATCGGGGTATAATTGAACGATGTAACACGTTCCACCCTTGAAAACAAATTTCTCGATAATTTAATTGCAAAGTAACGTTGTACAATAACGTCCGTGTAATTATATCACGAATAAATCAATTGTCGTCGCACATTTGTACGTATTTATTCGAACAATTAATATTCGTTACTTGTGTCATATTGTCGTGTAGAAATCAATATTACGACGGTAATTGGAACACAAATACATTATACAATCTACTAAACATTTATCCAACGAAACTGCAAATATTCACAGATAAATCACTTAATTGAAATCTTGTAATTAGAAATTGCAATCGGATTTAATCTCTTCGTCATAATGAAAATTTCAATGTAATGTTTGGAGTTTTATCGTGTAGCGTTTAAAGTATTCCATTATCGTTTTACAGAGACTGTCTCGTTTAATTAACTAACTACGATTATTCGACAAAATTACTTCTGTCAATAATTATTGAACCACGTTGAATTTTAAAAGTGTTCCAATCGTTGGTATTATCCATACCACCTGGTATTATCGAGTCTTGCATTATTGGGCTAATTTTCGAAAAATGGAAGTTTGTACAAGAAAAGAACCTCGTCGATCAATTTCCAGAGAAATAGATGAGAATGTATTTAATCATTCAGAGATCGAGTAAATTTCTCGGTTCAGATTGGAGGATGTACTTTCGAACGTGAATATTAAGAAGGTAGATATCGTGGTTTAACACCAATTCGCAATGAAACTGAGGTGTCTCACGAATTAACGATTTCTCGATAAAAATAGCTTAATGTTTTTTTTTTATGGAGAACCGAAAGTTGTATCGACCAATGTACGAAAAAAGATATGTTCCGTCGCGCAGGTACGGAACGCGTGGGGTCTTCGTTGACCGGGTTTATGGCACGCTCGCACCAGAAGGTTATTTTTGAGAACAAAGACGCTTTGTAGCTCCGCCAAAAAATAAGTAATTTCTTACAGAACAATGCCTTTAAAATTTCGACTTCTCCGCGTCCTCAGTAACCGAAGACGTGTCATAAACCAGGGTTCCTGAAGGGTCAATCCACACGCGCGTATAACGGCACTCTCGGCCGAGGGTTGACCTGGCGGGAATTTCAGACGCGTCACCGAAGGACAGCGAAGATTCCACGCACCCGCAGGTAGGGCCCCACTCCTTGCAAGGAAAAGCGCGCTAAGGCGGCTCAGATTAGGAAATACTCCTATTTTACGTATGAAATGTAAATAAACGAGAAAAATATCAAATATATACCCAATTCCTTCTTAAAACCCGTGTACAATAGAAACTTTGCTACGGGTTAAAATGACCCTGCATTCGTCTGTAAAACCATTCGCCTTCCGAGGGTCAAATTGTACAGGTGGGTCAATCTTTCAGTGTGCAACCCATTTTTTAAGGCGATTTTTGGGGAGAATAAGGAAGGCCTCCTTGGTTTTCTGTAAATAAAAGGAGGTAGATATTCATTTTTTGTTATTCGAATATCCATTCATTTTTTTATTGTGCATAAAACGAAGTCGACGTCTTTGTCAGTTTCTGAGAAAAGAGCTTGTAACACTTCATTTGGGCCACCATTTGTATAACAAAACACGTTATACAGCAAAGTTATAAAACTCGTTAGAAAAATGTTACGTAGCAAGTTACATGTTATCCATCAAATTTATTTATTATCTTCTCCGTTGTAAATATACAAATTATACAACGTTTTCCGAGTGAGTGTACCAGATCATTGAACACGTCCCGTTATGCTCTATCATTCTACAGGAAAAAAAGAAAGTACCAAGTGCCGTTTAACAAAATCCAATAGTCCTTCGAATGACTTGAATGCCTCTATGCCTCAAGCTGTACACTTTAGCATGCTCCTTTACTTCATTTACTTTCGCGAAAGCAAATTTCCCAATGCTTTATCGAGTAGGGGGAGTTCCCCTAGCGCCGGACTCTTAAGGTTTTTCTTAAATAAATCTCTCTACCTGTGCACACGCGACTGAAACGCGCAGAAAACTTATTTTTATTCCTTTCGTCTCCTCTAGGAGATACGCGGAATAACGGCTCGGTAGCGTTTCAATTATTGCAGATATAACTAATGTCCGGCGTTAAGGGAACTCCACCTATCACGTGGCAGATGTGAAACTACGTCTACGCTATATAGTATATATAACACAGCGCGTTGTACAACGAAGTTATAAAACTCGTTAGAAAAATGAAAAGAAAAATGTTATGCAAGATTACGTTGAATAACATTTTCCGTGCTACGTAGCAAGTTATGTGTTATCCGTTGAGTGTCGGTGAAAGCTAGTTATACAACATGTTGCCATTCAGTACAAATTATCGCGATACTGTTATACAATTTTGGCGAAGAAACGTAATTTAACCCTTTGCAATCGAGTGAGAAGCGACATTAAATAATTAATCAAGACAGAGAGCAGATCTGTGGGCCTCCGTAAATTTCTTCGCCACAGTGAAATAGAGGATACGTTGAATATTTAAACAAAATAGCATAGTTTATTTCTACGTTAGTTTTAAAAAATCCGACTTGCAAACTGTCCTATAGCAAAATCAGCTCCGAATGCAAAGGGTTAAATCATGTAATACTTTCCGTACAAACTTAATAAGTATCCTGACACTTATGAACGGCAGTGTATATTTTCGTGAAATCTTATTGTTTGCATTCTGAATTATTGTGACGTTATTAAAATTTTAATTGCGATCAGAGGTAACGCAATATCATATAGAAAAGGAATAAGAAGAGATCGATATTCGAGGTATCGATCGTCAAGTGTACTGACGGGATGAATTATGTGAGTTGACTGCGAAACGACAAAATATGTAAAGTAAGAAAGAAATGTCATTAAAATCTTCGATTCGTTTATTTATTTACATAGGATGAATCTTACGATTATTATTCACCATGCTCTACAATTACCAGAAATTTACATAAACATCGGATAGACCACTTTTTCACGCTCGATCCACCCCTCTCTGGTCTCCTCTGTTTTTCATGAAAATATCAAAGAAGATCGGCTTCGGTGGATCGTCTTTAATTTCAATTTATCACCGCATTTCACGAAACCATGAGCATGACCATAAACTTGCGGCTTAATTTACATCAAAGTAACCGTCCTTTTTTCCCCGTGTTATTGCAGGGGAGGGAGATGATTATCTGACTGTGTCTCTGAGAGACGGTGGGGCTGCTGTGGGAATGACGCTGACCAAAGGAAGATTAGATCTGCACATAAAACCATCCCGAGTCCGGTTCGACGATAATCAATGGCACAAGATCACCGTGCACAGGAAGGTTCAAGAGGTAACGAGATTCCATCCATTTCATTTCGTTTCCACGAATTCGTTCGGCGAGCACAGTTGTGTGAAGTAATAAGAAAAACCCGCGACAGAATTTCTGTTCTCGATGACTTTTTCTATTTACATACGCGCGCGCACAGACACACGTGAACGTCGTGTAATTTCACGCGTTCATTTATACGAGATAGCAAATTTTCCACGTCGAGTTGAATATTTTAAAACGTTCGTCGTAGAAGCACAAGTTTGCCCGATGTTTTATTCACCACCGAAGCCATTAATAAGCTTCTTGTACGCATCGTTTCCCGATCGAGGCCTTTTAATAATGAATCTCTAGGAAAAAAGCGGCTTAATATGTTTGGGAAGATACTTAGAAGGTGGCTTGGTTTTGGATTCATAAGCGAACCGTGAGACTTTTTCATACGTTCGGTGTTCCCTTCTTGTGAGTCAATTTTTCAGGTGACTAGTTCGCTTCTTTTTTTTTTCGAGGGCAAATCTAGCTGTAGCTTAGACTTTGAATTTGCAGCTTGTTTTAATATTCTGCTGATTAATCTCAATTTTTCATGTTTTGCAATGTTTATTTGAAAAATTGTAATGTTTACTCTGTCGTATTCTTATTTTTCTTATGGAACAAGAACCAAAACAAGTTTATAATCGACCATTTGCAACGTGGTAGGCGATATGTTGTTTTGTAAAATTTAAACAAATGAAATGGGTTACTATGTAAAAAATTTTTAAATTATGAACCATTCATTTAGTTCATAATTACTTTTTCTTTCAAACGCAAAAATATTCTGCTCGTTATAAAAGAATACTGGCGTACGCTGAAATTTTACTAACAAAATTCTCCAGTTTACAATGCTTCGATGATTTTTCCTCTGAGCAAAGACGAAATTGCGAATTTTTCGCACAAATTGTACAGCCAAAATATTTCTTCGTTGAATCGTATAAACTTTTTGGAGAAAATTGCTTTTAAAGGGAGACGTTTAAGGAGAAAAGAATTTTCTCGTGAGCAATTTGAAAATTTTCCACATGGCCCCTGCGATTTCGATTCAGCCGTTACAATTGTTTGCCTAATCTGTTCACTCTTATGCTGCACACGGCATAATTATAACCAGTGACGTTGAAAGCGTAAACATCTCGTGCGTATTAACGTTTCATTGTGAGTTTGATGAAGTTAGCTTGCAATGCTCGTGCAATATTGCTATTCCGATCATGTTAGTCGTGGCTCCTGCGTAGGCTCGCATGATACGTGGGTTTATTTAATCAACAGGAATTAACAGTCATTTATAGTGGTTAACGTAAGTGTCCGAAAGCTTGCGTTCGAAGTATTTCATAAATACTATACGATGGAAGAAATGGCAAAAAATGAAGTTTCACATTTGAGTTAAAAGTTTAGAGTCCAAAATCATTTAAAAGTCATATTATTAAGCATATTATATCCGATGTACATTCATGTGAAAAAAAAACAGAAATAATGGCATTTATAAAATAATTTGTATAAAAATAATTAGACGGCCATGTCAAACTGAAATTCTTAAAATGACGTGGTATTGACAATAAGGAGCAAGTTTCATGATTGAAGAAGTAAAATTATTAGGTCATCCTGAAAGTTTGAAGAAACATAACTCCACTGAAATTGAACATTCTTATTTCAAAGAAATTTCATAATGTTC